TGTGAGTTTAGCTCCCGTGGGATCCATTCGATGATTAGACGCGTGCCGTGCTCCATGCATAGTCGAATGATGTCTTGGCAGGCCGTGGTAAGGTCGGGGCTGCGCGAGCCACCTTTGCGAAGGATGAAGAAGACGCCCTGATTGTCCACCCGCACAAGAACATGTTTGTGCGTGATCTTGCTGGAGTATGTTTGGAGTGCCCAAAGCACACCTTCGATCTCCCTCCGTGTGCTGGACGTCGCTCGCAGCGGCTCTGGCATTGTTGCGCTAGCTTCTTCGAGGCCGCCAGGAAATGTGGTCAAAGTGGCGCCCCAACTGTGAGCGCTAGCATCCACATGGATGACAGCGTCGTAGCTGTTTCGAACGTGAAACGGTGCACCGTTGAACCTGTCAAACTCTTCGAGCCAGAAGTTTAGCTCCTCAGCCGCGTTTGGGGGGATGATCACGCTGCTTTTCCATGAAGGTGCGTCATTGATCACTTGTAGCATGGCGTGGCTGAAAGCACGAGCTGTTGCGCCCAGCGCGACGCCCATTGACGCGAGCATGCCTGTGATTCTGGCCACTTGGCGGACTGAGACGGGTCGACATGCCTTGCTTGCGCTCAACAGGTTCCGAATGGTTGCATGTAGTGAGGCTCGTCGTTCGGGACCGATGGTAAATCGGCCTGTGGCCGTGTCTAGCTCCACACCCAAGAATCGAAGGTGTTGCGATGGTGACAGCTGTGATTTCTTCGCATTTATCACCAAACCTGCTGCTTTAAGGTCCAGTATTACACGGTGGCAAGTAGCCTGCGCGTGAGCTTTTGACTGGCAAAGGAATAAGATGTCGTCCACGTATGGTACTACTCGGATGCCTTGCTCCCGCCAGCGACGGGCTAGCTGCTTGATGAGTTGCGTGAAGATGAATGGGGCTGTCGCAAGACCGAACGGCAATGAACGAAAGGAGTAAGTGCGCCCATCGAATCCAAAACCGAGAAACTTCCAGCATGAAGGATGGATATCGATGTGATGGTACCCGGATTTGAGATCAATAGAAAACATCCAATCCCCAGCGCGTGCCACGTCTGCCACACGGCTGAGTCCTTCGTACTTGAATTTTGGGACGATGAGGTTCGTGTTGACTTTTCTCAGGTCGAGGATGAGCCTGCATTTTTCTTTCTGCTCGACCACGTTAAGTGGGCTTATGCACGTAAGCTCGCTTGCGGCTGTCTCGACTGCAGCTCCGGTCTCTGTGAGTTCTTGGATGGCAGTACGTGTGAACGACGCATGCGCGTATGCACCAGCGTGGTTACGCTCCCGAAAGGCCTGTGGTGGGCCGTGGCTCCATGGAAGCCAGTAACCGTTGGCGATGATGGATAGGACGAGGCTGCAAGGGCACCATGAGCTCCACCACGCAAAGGTCGAGCGAAGCCGACCGCACATCCGTGTGACGGTTTTGTCCGTGACGGCGAATTCGTACGGGCCATCGTCGCGAGGCACCTCGTATTGTTGTGCTCCTGTATGTACGGCAAGGAAATGAACGCGAACAATCAGGTTGCACGCCTTAATTAGTTCATGCGTGTGACATATACATGCATGCGCGAAAAATGAACCGTCAACAGTGAGGACCATACGGACGGTTTGTCGTCATTCCATATAGGGCGTCCGATCGCACCTTGGCAAACTCTTTCTCATACTCTCTCCTTTTCCCTCCCCTCGTTTTTTTTTTTTTTTTTTTTTCTGGAGGATTGATGCTTGGGACCATGATCATGCTTCCCTCGTGTGCTCTCTCTCTCTCTCTCTCTCTCTCTCTCTCTCTCTCTCTCTCTCTCTCTCTCTCTCTCTCTCTCTCTCTCGCTCTTTCTCTCTCCCTCTCTTTTTGGATGTGTTTCCATTGTTGTTTGAGCATTTGCATGCTTCGCTTGTCATGAGCTCGTGTCTTTTCGCGCGTGCCTTTACTTGGGCTAGGCGACATCGCTATGCCCTACTCCCCCCCCCTTGCTCCTTCTCACCCTTTTTGGGCTTCCAACGGTTGAACCAGGGCTGCTCATCCTTGCCATGCATGGTGGCGGTTTGAGTGAGGAGCGTACGTACTCTCTTTTTCTCCCTCTCCCCTTCTCCTCCTTTTTTTTTTTTTTTTTTTTAATCCGTGACAAACAAGAGGGGCCTTTAATAAAATCCCTATCTCTCATGGTCATACATTGTCATGCCTACTAGCATGTTTCTCATCCCATCAATTGGGGCATACGGGGGACCGAGAGGCATTCTTCCTCTTCCCCAAAGCTAGACCTACGGCCATACTTTATTACCCTATCCTAGGGGACCGAGAGGCATTCTTCCTCTTCCCCAAAGCTAGGCCTATGGCCAACTTCTACCACCCTATCCTAGGGCTGGCCATGGCCACCGCAAGCCCTACTAGGCTGCCCACGGTCTAAGCACTCAAAAGTGCACCGTGCATCGCGCCTAGAGGCGCGCTTCACCATAGCCCGAACCTTACACAACCGGTGCGGGTCCTTGGCCCCCATGCCCATTCCGAGGGCAGGCATTGGCGACGTGGCCTGGCTGTCCGCAGCGGAAACACGAACCACGAAAGCCTTGGAAGTTGCCCGAGGTTGGAGGGCCACGTTTTGGGGCGAACGCCTTGGCGCCGTGGTTTCCACCACGGTGGGAGCGAGCGTGAGCGCCCGCCGCTCGGTCCATGGCAGCCACGTCCGCGACGGCTTGCTTGAACGGCCGCGAGGTGAGAAGGCTTTTCTCCAGGTACATCTTGTAGCGCTTGGCAACGCGGTCGTCGGATGCGTCTTCGACTTGAAACATGTCGAAGCGCGCGGAAATGTCGTCGAGGGCGGCGACGACCATTTCGAGTCCGCCCGCCGAGTCGCCGTGCTGCAGCTTGTGCTCTGCGTGTTTCAGGTAGGCCCGCATGTCCTCCAGAATCTCCGCTTTCGCCCGCACGTGCTCGTCGTTGAACGTCGCCGCCGACCAAGTGGTGTTAGTAGTAGAGGGGAGGGGGGGAAGATGCTCCATGGAATGAAAATTTGCGGTATGGACCGGAGCCTCACCATCATCGTCGTCGGAGCCGTCGGTGTCGTTGTCGGCCGCTGGCGCAGGTGGGATGCTGGCTGGTGCTTCCTTGTTGTGCCGGTTCGCCGTTGTTCCTCGCGCTCCTTTTTCTTTTTTTGCGTTTTCCTTGTTAGCAGATGCAGACGCCGCGGGTTGTGCAATTTCCGTAGCTGTAACGCTGGCGGGTTGTTGCTGTAACAGGGACAGAAGCGCAGCGACCTGGTCCGGAGTCAACGCGTTGGTCAACGCCGGGGTCGTCGCGTCAGAAGAAGTCGATGTTCGGCGCCTCTGGCGCTGACGCGACGGTCCAGCCACAGGCGCCGGCGTGTGCTCCGCGTCAGGCGCGTGTGGCACCCCAGGTGCTGCAGGTGCCGCCGTCGCCACTTGCGCCACACGCGCCTCAGGCGCCACAGGCGCCACAGGCGCCACAGGGGCCGAGGGGTGCTGCTGCTGGGGCGGGCTCGAGTTTTTGTTGACCTCGAGCCCGCCCAACAGCACGTCCACGGCAGTTGGGGCGGGCGATCCTTCCTCTGCCCGCCGCTTGTTACGGCGATCGCCCGTCATTTCTCGGGCGTTACGGTCGGAGTCGGAAACCGGCGCAGACGAATTGACGCGGTTAAGTGCCGGCGTAGACGCCATTGTAGATCGATTGTGGTTGAAAATGTCTTGCAGAAGTGTTGAGGGTGACTCGCCTCTGGGAAGGGTGCGAGTTCTAGCCAGCTTGGACGGGGAAAAGAACTACTCGAACGGAAATGTTGATTGAGCCGTTGGAAAACGAGAAACGTGGGTGGAGGGAATGAACTCCAACCCACGGTTTTTGTAGTTGGAGAAGGGCGTTTAGCGCGCTTCGACGCTGCCAAATATTCGGTACAGTCAGCTTCGCTTTCACAATACACAATTTTGAAAAACATCAATGTGTTTAAAAATTATAATTTTTATCCCAATGGTCTAGTGGTTGGGATTCTGACAAGTTGTTTGTCCTTGCTGTCGCGCTGTATTTGTCAGGTCAAAGGTCGCTGACCTTTGACTTTCGCGTAGCCTCCAGCAGTTACTCAATTTCCGAAGGTTGACTTGCTGATGCTTTGCTGTGTTTCGCTTCGTTTACGACTTAGTGTTTCGACGCGACAGAGGCGCTTAAATGACTCGTTTCCAACAATATGGTGGTGGAGTGCCTGGAATGGCTATTGGAGGATTGAATATTTTTCCCAACCCGTGATTGCCCTAGGAATGCCATTGATTTGATTTGAGGTATGTGCCTCATCGAGGGAATGGGCCTGACTCAATATAGTTATTCTCTTTTGAAGCAACATAGACTAAATGTGCACACTGAACAGCCATATAATAGTTTCACACAGAATCTCATAATATTGTTATTTCTAATGACAGTTGAAAAACAAATTGTACATTTTCCTCTTTCCCGTCATACCACATACCGCGTATAGAGCACTGATTCCCGCCAGCACCCCAACAGTATCGCGTTACCACCTTGCGACTTTCGCCTCGACCGCCATTCCTGCTAATCATGACTATCGCGCCCAGACCACGGAGCTCGGCTGGTAACCCGCGGCCCAGCCTGACGCCTGAGTGTGTGGTACAATGCGAAACAATAGCCTTGCTCTGTAGGCGGACAATTTCCAGCATCTGGTTTAGCACAGTAAGATTGATAACTGATCGATTGCTTATCTAGGTTTGGTGATAAGCGCGTGGATGCCAAACCTACTTGCGCCAAATTTGACGCTTCTGCCTGTAGAACACCACTATTGACCCGCACAAATTTAACCGTGTGCTGGTTCAAAGCATTTGCTTCGCCTGGCAAACGGTCGCACAACTAGTGCGGGGTTGATTCAACCTCCAGGGCAAGCATCAGCCAGCGCACAAGTTATGCGGGGCGCTGGGTTGCGGAAATGCATTGGATATGCGGGGCTTCGTAGCAACATCGAGGGTGACAATTTTGATTGGATGCGACACGAATTTTCTAGGAAAGACTGTCCCGGACATTTTGTGCGGAGGCCAGTCCGCCTACAGAACAAGGCCTCTATCTTCAACTTCGCACAACACCTGTCAAGTTCAGTAAGTTTGAAGCCTTGTCATTCTTGGCGCGGGTTTTAAGATTCTTCATTTCCTGAGCTTGGAAAACTACTTCTGAATTTCGACAGATTCCTCTTTCGCAAAATAGTGCCAGTGCTCTGGCACATCTTCGATAATATGCGATGCGAGTGATACTTTTGTGACCGCTAGTTACAACAAGAGATTAGCGCACTGGGAAAGAGCCGCGCGCCACACGGTGCTTCACGCTGCTCTCGTTGCTCGCTCGCGCCACTCTTCCCGCTTCGTCGCGTTCCGCATCTCTCGCCACTCCAGGTACGCACGGAGCGCGCGCCCCCCGCCCCTCACGCCTCGGCCCCCCGCGTTCCACTCCCTCGCCCCTCCAGCCGCAGGCCCTTTCGTCCGTCCTCTTCCCCGCGTGCCCTTTCGTCCGTCCTCTTCCCCGCGTGCCCTTTCGTCCGTCCTCTTCCCCGCGCTCTCGTGCAATTCCACCCGTCCTGCACACGCGCCGTTCCCCACTGCTTCCGCCCCTTCAAAGGGCCAGTCGCCCTGCCACACTCCGCTCGCGCCGCGCGTGCCCTGCGCGACCCTCGTCGCCGCGCCCCCGCTGTCCTGCTATCCCGCTATCCCTCTGGCTCTCGCTTCCCCCGTCTTCCTCTCTTCGTCCCCCCAGCCTGCCGCTCTCCCCGCCCCTTATTCTCCACTCACTGCCTCCCTCCTTCTCATCCCTCCTCGTGAGGAATAGCGGTGGGCGGGTAAGGGTGGGCGCATGAGGGTGGGCGGGTGAGGGTGGGCGGGTGAGGGTGGGCGGGTGAGGGTGGGCGGGTGAGCGGAGGCGGGTGAGGAGAAGATCTACGGTTGAGGTGGTGACGGGGTGAAAGGGGACGGTTAGGATCCGTAGTTAGAGTGAGAGGTATGAGGGGTGCGAGTAGGAGAGAATGGAAGCAGGATCAAGCATGGGGATAAGGAGGGGAGTGTTGAGGAGAGGAGGAGAAGAGGAGTGCAGTAAGCGTTGTGCATGAGAGGGGAAGGGGTGAAACCAGGGGGGGTTGCTGGCGAGAGTGAGAATGAGGAAAGACGTTCGTTGCCAGCAACCACCCCTCGTGCTGGGGTGATGTGATGCCTTGCCACGCACCACGCACCACGTGCCTTGCTGCGCCACTGACCTCGTGCCCTCTATGTCTCCGTTCACGCCTCTCTCCCCCTCTTTCCTCTCGCCTCTCTCCTCTCGTGCTGCAGCCATGGCACCCCACGATGACGTGGCGAATCATCCACCTGTGCCTGATGACGTGGCAAGTCGTCCCCGCGTGTTGGTTCTGGGCTCTCCCTCTGTCGGCAAAACCACCCTCGCACACCGTATGCCTTCCCTCCCCACCCTCGCACACCGTATGCCTTCCCTCCGCACTCTCTTCTGCCTCCCCTCCCTCCGCGTCTCCCCTTTCTCATCATCCCTCTCCCTGCAGCCATTTCGCCCTCCCTGCTCCGCCCTCCCTGCTCCGCCCTCCCTGCTCCGCCCTCCCTGCTCCGCCCTCCCTGCTCCGCCCTCCCTGCTCCGCCCTCCCTGCTCCGCCCTCCCTGCTCCGCCCTCCCTGCTCTCCCCATCCCTGCTGCGTTCGCCCTTCACCATGACCGGCTTTCTAATTCCTTGTGGCCCATTTCCATTCTCTCTCCCCAGTTCGTCTCCCCATTTCCCACTGCCCATTCCTTCTTCTCATTCCTTTTCCCGATTCATTCTCCCATAGCTCTTCATCTCCCCCACCCGACCAATCATCCCCCTTCTCACCCGCCTTCACCCCTTTCCACTGGTGGCGCTGCAGGGCTCACAGGTGCACACCCCCACGAGTACAGCAGCACAAGCTCCAACACGGCTGCAGGAGAGTGTTTCAGGTGGGTGCAAGGGCGGTAGGGGGCCGAGTCGAGGTGGGCCGCCATTTGAGCGCTTGCTTCAAAGCTTCAAAGAGGCACGAGGGAGGAGGGGGGCGCTGCTCATTCGACACAAGGGAGGAGGGGGGCTCATTCGACTTGTGCTCTTGAGCTTGCGCGCCATGTGCGCCACACCACACCCGCATGACTCTGCATATCTGCGCTCCACCAGCGCCATCCATGCAAGGCTGGAGTGTGGACCTTTTCCGGAGGCTATCTGGACTGGACTGCAGTTCACACCAAGAAGTACACAGCTCCCCTCCCTCATCCCTCTCACAGCTCCCCTCCCTCCCTCATCCCTCTCACAGCTCCCCTCCCTCATCCCTCTCACAGCTCCCCTCCCTCATCCCTCTCACAGCTCCCCTCCCTCATCCCTCTCACAGCTCCCCTCCCTCATCCCTCTCACAGCTCCCCTCCCTCATCCCTCTCACAGCTCCCCTCCCTCATCCCCCTCACAGCTCAAGAGCTTCGCCAACAACCCCATCCCTCATTCCTCTTCCCTCCTTTCACACATGCCACGTGCTCACGAACCTCCCCAGCCCTTCTCCTTCCTCCGCCACCTCTCTCCCGTTCCCCCTCACAACTGGCACGTGGACACAGAGCGCTACACGGCTCAGGAATCCCCCCAACGCCCCCAACACCCCTTTTATCCGCAAAAATTCCCTTCCTTCCTCCCTCCCTTATCAGCTGGCAGGTAGACACCAAGTATTACACGGCAGCAGTGGCCGTGTGGACGGCACGCCTCTCCTCCGTGCTGCCCTGCAGCACCACCGGCCCCGCCTCGCCCCTCGTGAGAGGAACTGAGGCGCTGCTGCTCGTCTTCGACCTCTCCAATGTGAGCCCGGGGCGTCAGTAGGTTGAGCTGGAAATAGGCTCTCCAATGGGCTGTCAGTAGGCAGTAGGCAGTAGGCTGCTCACTGCTCACTGCTGCTGCCCCAGGCCTCGCCCCTCGTGACGGGAGCTGAGGCACTGCTGCACGTCTTGGACCTCTCCACTGTGTTTGCAGGGGGGAAGGATGTGGGTGGGGGTGGTGGTGGCAGGGGGGAAGGATGTGGGTGGGGGTGGTGGTGGGAGGGGGGAAGGATGTGGGTGGGGGGTGGTGGTGGGAGGGGGGAAGGATGTGGGTGGGGGTGGTGGTGGCAGGGGGGAAGGATGTGGGTGGGGGTGGTGGTGGGAGAGGGGTGGTGCCGTCGTGGGGTGAGGCCCATTCTCTTCCTTATACCATCCACTGCTTCCGTTTCCTCTCTGCCTTCCTCACGCAAATGCTTCTTGTGACCAGCATAAATGCTTCTTGTGACCTGACCAGCATAATTCCCCGGTTCCCCACAACCCCCACCCTCCTCGTTCCCCACAACCCCCACCCTCCTCGTTCCCCACAACCCCCACCCTCCTCGTTCCCCACAACCCCCACCCTCCTCGTTCCCCACAACCCCCCGCGCCGCCCTCTTTCCCCCATGCCCCCTCTTCTCCTTCCTCTCTCCCGTGTGCTAGCCCGCAGCATTCACAGCAGTGCAGAGGCGGCCATGTACAGCCAATCCAATCACGCTCACCTTCCCACTCTATCCCTTCAAACCCACCCCCACCCTTCCACGGTCCCACCCTCCTCTCCCCCCTCTCCCCTGCCAGCTGGCATCGTTCACGGCAGGGCAGTGCAGAGGTGGGTGGCAGGCAGGTGCTGTGCTGCCAACCACGCTCACTCTCCCTTCCCACTGTGCTGTTTCTCTTAGCAATCACCCGCCGCCGCCGCCCTCCCAACCTCCCCTCCTCCCTGGCTCCCCTGCCAGCCCTTGTCATTCGCATGGCAGCAGTGCAGAGGCGGGCAGGTGCTGTGCTGTGCTGCCAGCCACTCTCACTCTCCCTTCCCACTGTGTCCCCCCCTCCTCCTCCCCCCCCGTGCCAGCCAGCGTCATTCGCGGCCGTGCAGAGGTGGGCAGAGCGGGCAGACCTGAGTCGCTTTGAGATCCGCCTGTGCGTCGGCAACAAGGCAGACCGGGTGCGGCGAGGGGGCAGTGCGGGTGAGAGAAGCAGGCGTGGGCGGCAGAGAGGAGGGGGGAGAGACGGGGAGGAGCAGAGTGACTTTGATGGCGCCATGCTGCTGGGCGCAGGCAGGGGGGAGGGGGAGGAAGCGGGGGAGGGGGAGGGAGAGAAGGCAGAAGCTGGGGAATCTGTGGATGCGGGAGAAGTGGAGAGGGAGTGGAGCAGCGAGGGGGCAGGAGAGGGAGGTAGAGGGGAGGAAGGGGAGGTGAGGCGGCGGCAGTGCGAGGAGTGGTGTGCGGATAACGGCATCGAGTACGTGGAGGCGTGTGCTGCCCATGAGGAGATTGACGCTGGTGAGTGGAGAGTGGGCCTGAGTGAGTGAGTGAGTGAGTGAGTGGTGTGTGACAATGGCATTGAGTACGTGGAGGCGTGTGCTGCCCACGAAGCAATAGATGCTGGTGAGTGGGCCTGGGTGAGTGAGTGTGTGGCGTCAGTGGGCGTGAGTGAGTGAGTGTGTGGCGTCAGTGGGCGTGCGCATGTGACTCGGAACGAGTGGTCTTAACAATGGCATCGAGTATGTGGAGGCGTGTGCTCACAGCAAGAGATGGATGCTTGTGAGAGGGAGTGCGTGAGTGAGTGAGTGAGTGAGTGAGTGAGTGAGTGGGCCTGATTGAGTGGTCTGGAGTGAGTGAAGTGCCGGCAATGGTATCAGGTACGTGGAGGCATGTGCAGCCAGCAAGGCAATGGGTGCCGGTGAGAATCTGTGCAATGGGTGCCGGTGAGAAGCTGTGCAATGGGTGCCGGTGAGAAGCTGTGCTTCTTCTTGCCTTGCCTGTTCTTGCCTATATTGTTCTCCCTCTCCTATAGCGAAACCCTCTCTCCACTCTCGCTACTCCAGCTATTCCCTCCTAAACCTAGGCTTCCTACGTATCTCAACTTCTCGACAATGTCATGTCATGCCAGGTCCGGTCAGGCCAGGAGCACAGTGCAAGGTGTCAGACCGGTCACACCTTGCATGCACGCGTGGCCATTGGAGGCCAGTCCCTTGAGCCGCACAGCCATCCCCTCATGCCTCACAGCACAACACACCCCACCACTCATGCCAGCTCCCTTTCCCCATGCCCCTCCACGCACAGCCTGGGCGCGGACAGTGTCATGCACGCCGTGCAGCGCATGCACATGCGCCCTCAACCACCTTGCATGCACATGCGCCCTCAACCACCTTGCATGCACATGCGCCCTCAACCACCTTGCATGCACATGCGCCCTCAACCACCTTGCATGCACATGCGCCCTCAACCACCTTGCATGCACATGCGCCCTCAACCACCTTGCATGCACATGCGCCCTCAACCACCTTGCATGCACATGCGCCCTCAACCACCTTGCATGCACATGCGCCCTCAACCACCTTGCATGCACATGCGCCCTCAACCACCTTGCATGCACAGCGCCCTCAACCACCTTGCATGCACATGCGCCCTCAACCACCTTGCATGCACATGCGCCCTCAACCACCTTGCATGCACATGCGCCCTCAACCACCTTGCATGCACATGCGCCCTCAACCACCTTGCATGCACATGCGCCCTCAACCACCTTGCATGCACATGCGCCCTCAACCACCTTGCATGCACATGCGCCCTCAACCACCTTGCATGCACATGCGCCCTCAACCACCTTGCATGCACAGCGCCCTCAACCACCTTGCATGCACATGCGCCCTCAACCACCTTGCATGCACATGCGCCCTCAACCACCTTGCATGCACATGCGCCCTCAACCACCTTGCATGCACATGCGCCCTCAACCACCTTGCATGCACATGCGCCCTCAACCACCTTGCATGCACATGCGCCCTCAACCACCTTGCATGCACATGCGCCCTCAACCACCTTGCATGCACATGCGCCCTCAACCACCTTGCATGCACATGCGCCCTCAACCACCTTGCATGCACATGCGCCCTCAACCACCTTGCATGCACATGCGCCCTCAACCACCTTGCATGCACATGCGCCCTCAACCACCTTGCATGCACATGCGCCCTCAACCACCTTGCATGCACATGCGCCCTCAACCACCTTGCATGCACATGCGCCCTCAACCACCTTGCATGCACATGCGCCCTCAACCACCTTGCATGCACATGCGCCCTCAACCACCTTGCATGCACATGCGCCCTCAACCACCTTGCATGCACATGCGCCCTCAACCACCTTGCATGCACATGCGCCCTCAACCACCTTGCATGCACATGCGCCCTCAACCACCTTGCATGCACATGCGCCCTCAACCACCTTGCATGCACATGCGCCCTCAACCACCTTGCATGCACATGCGCCCTCAACCACCTTGCATGCACATGCGCCCTCAACCACCTTGCATGCACATGCGCCCTCAACCACCTTGCATGCACATGCGCCCTCAACCACCTTGCATGCACATGCGCCCTCAACCACCTTGCATGCACATGCGCCCTCAACCACCTTGCATGCACATGCGCCCTCAACCACCTTGCATGCACATGCGCCCTCAACCACCTTGCATGCACATGCGCCCTCAACCACCTTGCATGCACATGCGCCCTCAACCACCTTGCATGCACATGCGCCCTCAACCACCTTGCATGCACATGCGCCCTCAACCACCTTGCATGCACATGCGCCCTCAACCACCTTGCATGCACATGCGCCCTCAACCACCTTGCATGCACATGCGCCCTCAACCACCTTGCATGCACATGCGCCCTCAACCACCTTGCATGCACATGCGCCCTCAACCACCTTGCATGCACATGCGCCCTCAACCACCTTGCATGCACATGCGCCCTCAACCACCTTGCATGCACATGCGCCCTCAACCACCTTGCATGCACATGCGCCCTCAACCACCTTGCATGCACATGCGCCCTCAACCACCTTGCATGCACATGCGCCCTCAACCACCTTGCATGCACATGCGCCCTCAACCACCTTGCATGCACATGCGCCCTCAACCACCTTGCATGCACATGCGCCCTCAACCACCTTGCATGCACATGCGCCCTCAACCACCTTGCATGCACATGCGCCCTCAACCACCTTGCATGCACATGCGCCCTCAACCACCTTGCATGCACATGCGCCCTCAACCACCTTGCATGCACATGCGCCCTCAACCACCTTGCATGCACATGCGCCCTCAACCACCTTGCATGCACATGCGCCCTCAACCACCTTGCATGCACATGCGCCCTCAACCACCTTGCATGCACATGCGCCCTCAACCACCTTGCATGCACATGCGCCCTCAACCACCTTGCATGCACATGCGCCCTCAACCACCTTGCATGCACATGCGCCCTCAACCACCTTGCATGCACATGCGCCCTCAACCACCTTGCATGCACATGCGCCCTCAACCACCTTGCATGCACATGCGCCCTCAACCACCTTGCATGCACATGCGCCCTCAACCACCTTGCATGCACATGCGCCCTCAACCACCTTGCATGCACATGCGCCCTCAACCACCTTGCATGCACATGCGCCCTCAACCACCTTGCATGCGCATGTGGCCGAGGCCTCGCATTGAAAGCTCGTGCCATGCACCCAATGCATGGTAGCGCGTACCATTGCCCACTGTGCATGCTCGGACTGCAGCGCATCCACTTGGCCCTGGGCGCTCACATGTGGCAGGGGCTGTCGCTTGTGTTCCTCGTGTGTGCCCCACCCCTCACGTCCCCTCCCCACACCCGCCTCCAACCCATGTACGCACAGCCCTGGGCACGGACGGAGAGATGCAAGGCATACAGCGCATCCGCACGGCCCTGGGCGCGCACATGTGGCCGGGGCTGGCACTCAAGGCGCCAGGGGGGGCGCGGGGTGCTCCCATGCAGGGGCTGTCGCAGCTCATGGGGCTGGCGGGCAGCCATGCATCACACACGCATGAAGGTGCGTTCATCTGCTTCCTCCCTGGGAGGAGCAGCACGGATACATGCACACTCGTGCATTCACAAGTGTTTCCACTCGTGGCTCTGCTCCCCTCATTCCCTCCCCTGTCCCCCACGCCTCCAATCCCTCAGCACCCCCCCCTTCTTGCTTCTGCATCATGACCATCACACCTGAACCCACTTCTTGCCACACCAGACACCAGACCCAATTGTTGCTCATAGCTCTCCATTCGTCTGCTGCATGTGATAACATCGCAACGCCTGCATCGCCCCTATCGTCTCGTATCTCCCCTCATCTGCTTCTCCCCGCACCCCCACTCACCTCCCAATACAGCCGCCCACCACACAGCCCAACCTGACTCACCGCATTGCTCCTCGGCATCAGGCAGCAGCACTAACAGTGACAGCGATGGTCGCACTGCCAGCGACCCCACCTCCTTTCACCGCCTTCTTGACGCCTCTAGCCTTGCTCTGTTTCCATCACCCCCACACCCCCGCCCACCTCCCTTTATGTCCACCCATCACACAGGCCAACCCGACTCACCGCATTCGTCCTCGGCATCAGAGGAGAGCACCGACAGTGACAGCGACAGCGACCCCGCGTCCTTGGACCCAACGCACTTCCCCTACCACCGCCTCGACGACGCTCCTGACCCTGCACTGCCCCACTCGCCGCCCGCCCACCCCTCCCTCGCCTCCGCTCCCTGCGCTGCTTCTTCTGCCAGCAATGGGTCTGTGCCTGTTGGTGAGGTTGGCAGTGCAGCTGGTGCTGGTGTTTCTGGTGAAACTGCTGGTGTTGCCAGTGAGGCTGCCGGGAAGGACAAGGAACGGAAGGAGAAAGAGGAGGTTAGCGAGGCGGATGAGGATTTTGGGCCGTTTGTGCATGGATCGGATGCTGCTGCTGGTTCGGATGCTGCTGCTGGTTCGGATGCTGCTGCTGGTTCGGATGCTGCTGCTGGTTCGGATGCTGCTGCTGGTTCGGATGCTGCTGCTGGTTCAGATACTGCTGCTAATTCGGATGCTGTCACTGGTTTGGATGGTGCCGCTGGTTTGGATGGTGCCACTGGTTCAAATGCCGCCTCTGGTTCGGCTCATGACACGTGCGGCTTGAACGGAGAGAACAATAAGGAGAAAACCCAGTGTGCAGCCGTGCCAGGTGACACCCACAAGAGTGACACCCACGACAGTGACCGCACTGATAGTGACACCCGTGAGGGGGTGCACTTGCACCCATTTGACCACGGCGGTGCTGACGAGGCAAGGGCGGACATGGACGGCATGGAGCGTCTGTTTCTGCAGGTGGCGTCGGTGCGCAGCAGCCTGCAGAACGCGCCTGATGCTGTTCGGCGCGACACGGCCGCCCGGCTGGCCATGCAGATTGCACAGATGCTGGGGGGCGATGATGATGATGCGTGGGGGTGACCCGTGGGGTTGATGCATGGGGTTGATGCATGGAAGGAAGCGCTAGTGTGGGAGTTGTTGGGCTGAAAAAACCCTTAGGATCTTTGCAGGGGTGAACTCTGGGTAGAGTTGGTGTAGTAGCGGAAGCGTCTAATAAAGAGTTTGTGAACCACCTTGCGCTAGTATGTGAGGGCAAAGTAAGTTGATTAAAACAAAGAGATACCGTACATTATATATGAATACAGGGAATATGGAAAGACACAGGTATAACTACTTATGCTGTTGCGGTTCGATACAGTGACGACTCGGGCAACTGCTCTGTAACGAGTCAGTTGTGTGTCCTTGCTGTCGCGCTGTATTTGTCAGGTCAAAGGTCGCTGACCTTTGACTTTCGCGTAACCTCCAGCGGTTACTTCAACCTCCGAGGGTTGACTCGCTGGTGCCTCGATATGCTTTGCTTCGCTTGTGCCTTAGTGTTTCGACACGACAGAGGTGCTTAGGAATGATTGTTTCCAACAGGAGTGTTGTTTCTCTGTTGTGATTTGTGGTGACGCTGGTGGAAATTTCGAAGCTTGCCTTGTGTTTCCAGTTGAGTTGTGTACAATCCCATTGCGTGTATACTACTACCACGTCACCTGGATGTGTCCCTCAAGCATATCCCATGCAAGCTTTCTCCAGAAGCTGGTCCTCTCCATGAGTGCGGGTTTTGTTTTTTCAAGTCTGAACTGTTTAGGAGTGAGTTCCTTGCTTTTTGGCTTCTTTCTTTATATCATAATCGGGATTTCACATGGACAGCTCGTGTTACACGAGTGTACTGGTTAGCCGATCGAATATGCTCGTGAGCGATATGGCTTTTCTGTGCAGGACTGCGCCACCCAGCAGCCATCACAAGCCCCTGCCTGACTCAGTAACCGAACTCGCTTGTGAGTGTTTCATCTTAGCACACAGTGATAGTCGCCCTTGTGTGCCCTCACTCGCGACAGCCAGGGCCAATCACACCGGGGAGGAGCCTGCCGAGCAGAAAGAAGGAAACGAAGGCACGAAACTGTCTTTCGCGCGACCCTCGTGTCGCGCTCGCGCCACTCCACAAGCCTCATTCGCCGCGCTCCGCATCTCTCGCCACACGAGGTGCGCACGGAGCTCGCCGCGCCCCTCGTCACCGCGCGCCCTCCACTCCCCTCGCCCTCTCCGCCCTCTTCCAGCCGCCAGTCCCTTTCGTCCGTCCTCTTCCCCGCGCTCGCGTCGTCTCCACCCGGCTTTCCCCCTGCTCTCGAGTAAACGAGTGAAGGGAGGCGCCAGAGTCTATTGTTAGAGTGAGAGGTTCGAAAGGAGAGAGGAGGAGAGAAACGAAGCAGGAGCTAGGGCGAGGAGAGGAGGAGAAGAGGAGAGTGGTGCGAGCGTGGAGTGTGGCAGGGGAATAGATGAAGGGAGGGAGGCCGATTGCGCGGGCGAAGAGGGAAACTCCGCATTTGTGCACTCCCCCTTCCCCTTCCCACACCCTAGTGCACTGACCTCTTTCCCTCTCTTCCCTCTCTCCCCTCTCCCCTCTTTCCCTCTCTTCCCTCTCTCCCCTCTCCCATCTTTCCCTCTCTTCCCTCTCTCCCCTCTCCCCTCTTTCCCTCTCTTCCCTCTCTCCCCTCTCCCCTCTTTCCCTCTCTTCCCTCTCTCCCCTCTCCCCTCTTTCCCTCTCTTCCCTCTCTCCCCTCTCCCCTCCGCGCCTTCCCAGTCAGCCTCGCACGTCAGCGAAACTCCCCCCTCCCTCGCATCCCTGCCTGTCTACGCCCTCACCATACAGCCCACCCCATCCCATCCCAGCCAAGCTCTCCCCACCCCACCCCATCTCATCCCACCCCAGCTGACCGCATTGATTGCGAATCAAGTGTTGTGAGACCGACAGGCATCTCAGCCGCCAGGCTAGCGGTCCAGCACAGGAGGGAGGGGGGGAAGGGGAGGGGGGTGCCATGGGCGGCAGCGAGGGCAAGGGGGGCGAGGGGGGGAGGGGGCGCGTGGTGTGTGTGACGTGTGGGGCGCGGAGGGAGCAGCTGTACCGCGTGCACTCGCCCGGCAGCATTGAGGTGCTCAAATGCGTGAGTGCTCAAATGCGTGAGTGCTCAAATGCGTGAGTGCTCAAATGCGTGAGTGCAGTGCTGCCCTCCATGCCCTCGTGCCGCCATGCCCCCATATTCCCTACATCACTTCGGTGACTGGAGTGCCACTCTCTCATTCCAATCCCCTCTCCCACGCCCTGTCCCGCGCCCAATGCCCCATATCTCATGCCTCATGCCAATACCCATACCCAATCTCCCACGCCCCACGCCGGATGCCCCATGGCCTGCTTGCTTCACCAGGGCGAGTGTGGAGCTGCAGCCGATCCCTACGTCGAGTGCGACCCCCTGGTGCGCCCCCCCTCCCCTTTGTGCGCCCCCCCTCCCCTTGGTGCGCCCCCCCTCCCCTTGGTGCCCCCCCTCCCCCCTGGTGCGTCCCTTCCCCCCCCTGGTGCGCCTCCCCTCCCCCTAGTGCGCCCCCCTCCCCCTGGTGCGCCCCCCCTCCCTCTGGTGCGGCCCTGCTCGCCTGGATCATGGTGCGTCCCCCCCTCCCCCCCCCTGGTGCGGCCCCTTCCCCATGATGCCCTCCACCTCCCATTCCCGTGGTGCCCCCCCGTCCCCATCCCCGGGTGCGCACCCCCTTGCGATGCCCTTCTCTCCCCACCTGCTGTGCCACCCCCACGCACCACGGGCGCATGTTTTAGTCGACTCAGACGCAGCCCTCCACCCCCCCATGTGACTCCCCACTCCCCTCGCTCCTGCCTGAAGCACCTCCTGCTGCCCCCTCATCCCCATCTCCCCCATGCCTCCTGTGTCCCCCTCAGTCCCATGTGCTCCTGCTTCCCCCACCCATGCCCCTCCTGCCCTTTCACCCGTGCGCAACATCTGCCCCCCCACCCATCCCCCGCTCCTTTCCCCGTCTACCATTCCAACTAGTGCTACTGGACGTGCTGCTCTTAAAGCCCCAGGCGCCCTGTCTGATTCCCCTCCCCTCGCTTGCCCCTCTCTCCCCCCAACCCTCAGCTGGTGCTGCTGGACGTGCTGCTCTTAAAGCCCCAGGCGCACCGCCATGTGGTGCACAACCTCGTGCTTGCCTCACCCACGCCCCATGCAGTGAGTGTACGGAGGGTTCTCTTGAAACGCAAGGCCTGAATGCGTTTTTTTGAGAATTTTCAAAAACGCACCCACCCCGAATGCAGTGAGTATGGAGAACAGAGGACCCTAGATGAAGGAAGTGATTCGGAATGAAGCGCCCTGAAACGCCGTCGTGAGGATGTTTCTGTTGGTTGTTTTCCTCCTGAGAACGCACCACCGCTCAGACTGTTGAATCGCACCAATATGACCCCCTCTGAAGTCTCTTCACCTGCTGTTTCCGTCACCTGCTGCCACCATGTGCCTTGTGCTGCCGGCTCAGCAAAGGCACCTGATGCGAATCTTCATGGACTCCTACCCTGCAGTCGTGTGAGACGATTTTCGAGGCGCGAAAACCAGCGGCTCGACAAAATCACCTGTTCAGAGACTTCATGGACTGCAGTCGTGTGACGTGGCAACGAGCTCGGCAGCTGGTTGCTCTTCATTGAGCTCTCTGTCCCCCAACCCACCACCCCCTGTGTGTGTGTCTACAAGTCAAGCTCTCCTGTGTCGCCACGCCAACCATCTCCTCTTCCGCCCTCATTTGACTGTCATCTCTCTCACCATTCCCTTGTGCCCCAACTCCTCCCGAATGCGCCTGCTGTGCGCCCAGCAGCGCCCGCTGTGCCTCGCCACAGCCCTCATTCTGCTCTGCCATGCCAGTGAGTCACTCATCTCATCGCATGCCATCATGCCAGCGAGTCGCATGCATAATACGTTGCACGAGCTCACATACTCATATGATGCCATTCATTCGCTTCACTCAAAAACCATGTCTTCCACACTGAAGCTCCTCCGCCACTCTCTCAACGTCGGCCTTTCCCTGTCACTCCCCCTTCCCGCTTTCCACCGTGTCTCAACCCTTCCCACCTCCGTGCGCCGCCCTGAAGCACCTCCGCATGAGGCCCACCATCCGCATGAGGCCCACCATCCGCATGAGGCCCACCATCCCACCATCCCACCATCCCACCATCCCACCATCCCCCTTCCGCACATGCCTCTCCGCCCATGCCGTATCACCACCCTCGCACAAGACCTGTTAGCCATCCCTCTCCGCCCTCCACCCACCTTGCTTGCCCCCCTCCAACTGTTCGCTTCCACTCCCTCCAACCCTGTCACACCTGCCGCTCACGCCCGCCGCCCATCACGTGGCAGCGCTGCTGGTGTTCCGGGCGGCACACGGCATCACAGTTGACCCTGCACACCTTCTCTCCCTCCCCATCATCGCCCAGGTACTCACCCCCCCAGGTACTGCCTCCCTCAGGTGCTGAGACCCCCCCAGGTACTGCCTCCCCCAGGTACTGCCTCCCCCAGGTACTGCCTCCCCCAGGTACTGCCTCCCCCTGGTACTGCCTCCCCATGTGCTGCCTCCCCCAGGTACTGCCTCCCCCATGTGCTGCCTCCCCCAGGTGCTGCCTCTTTCAGTGGTGCTCGCCTCAGGTGTTGCCTCAAGCCATCCGTGCAGTTGTGTTTGTCACATAATGCGTATGTGCGTATATGTATGTGCGTATATGTATGTGCGTATATGTATGTGCGTATATGTATGTGCGTATATGTATGTGCGTATATGTATGTGCGTATCTGTATGTGTGTATATGTATGTGCGTATATGTATGTGCGTATATGTATGTGCGTATATGTATGTGCGTATATGTATGTGCGTATATGTATGTGTGTATATGTATGTGCGTATATGTATGTGCGTATATGTATGTGCGTATATGTATGTGCGTATATGTATGTGCGTATATGTATGTGCGTATATGTATGTGTGTATATGTATGTGCGTATATGTATGTGCGTATATGTATGTGCGTATATGTATGTGCGTATATGTATGTGCGTATATTTATGTGCATATATGTATGTGCGTATATGTATGTGCATATACGTATGTGCGTATATGTATGTGCGCATATGTATGTGCGTATATGTATGTGTGTATATGTATGTGCGTATATGTATGTGCGTATATGTATGTGCGTATATGTATGTGCGTATATGTATGTGCGCATATGTATGTGCGTATATGTATGTGCGTATATGTATGTGCGCATATGTATGTGCGTATGTGGATTTGCGTTTATGTATGTGCTTTTATGTATGTGCGTAGATGTATGAACATATATTTATGTGCGTGTTTGGCAGTCAGTGTTTGCTAAGCTGTAAATGCTTGTTTTACTCTTCTCACATGCGAGCAATTGCATCTCTGTCGTGTGTGTGGCACCTTTGCACGGCACACCATGGCATGGGATGGCATGGGATGGCATGGGGCGTGGGAGCAACAGGGTGTGGCGGTGTCTCTCCTCTCCAAGCTCCTCTTCCTCGCTCTCGTCTTCTTCTCCCTGCCCGCCGCCCGACACCTGCTGAGCTGGCTGCCTGCAATTGGGCCACCTCAAGCAGCCAGCAGTCAGAAAAAGCCACATAGGTACAGAGATTTATGTCTGTCTGCATGCTTCCCCGCCTGTGGCCCCACTCTCTCTTCTCCGCCTGTGCTGCTTTCCCTCATCCCTCCATCCACTTTCCCTCATCCCTCCATCCACTTTCCCTCATCCCTCCATCCACTTTCCCTCATCCCTCCATCCACTTTCCCTCATCCCTCCATCCACTTTCCCTCATCCCTCCATCCACTTTCCCTCATCCCTCCATCCACTTTCCCTTGTTTCATCCACTTCCTCCCTCTTTCTTGGATTTGTGCTTCCTCGACCTTCATCCTCCTCCACCCTCTCTCTGTGATTCTCTTATCCCTCCCCTCTCCACACCCCCACCCCAGTGTGCCCTTCCCAGTGGTCTTCTACAGCCTGCTCCTCTCCAGCCCTCCGGAGTGCCTTGCACTCCCGCTTCTGGTGCGCTCTCTCCCTCTTGCCCTCCCACTCTCACACCCTCACTCCCTACATGCAATCTCTCGCTCTCAAACCGTATTCTCCCTTCGCTCCTTGTTGTGTGATGGCTGCTCTGCATGCCATGCATTCCCACCGTCCACCTGTGCATTGCTGTTGTGCACGCACTCTTACACTCGTAAATTGCTTTTCTCCCCATGCCATCATGTCATGTTTCACATCTCTGTTTCCATGCCACACACCCATGCCACACACCCATGCCACATGCACATGCCACACGCCCATGGCAGATATGGAAGTACGAGTGGGGCATGCTCTTCCTCTCCGTGCAAGTGCTGCTCTTCGTCTCACACATCGCCTCCTTACAAGGTAATCAGACACAGAGTTGAGAGTAGATTTTCTTACTCGCCTTTCTTGCAAAACGTATCACCAGACACAAGCAATGTGGGCAAAGAAAGGCCGATGATGTATGTCTTCCTCTCTCTTTCATGTGTCTTCAACTTGTTCGTTTGTTTTTGTTTTTGCTTCTGTGTGTTCACAGCTGTTTCCTTCATCCCATGGCCAGCAGCAGCAGCAAGCATAGCATGTGGGCACATGGCCATACATGCATTTGAGGCTAGAGCATGTGCCATGCTTGCTCAAAGCTATTGGGTCCCCAGATAATGTGGAAAAATAACCTTTCTGTTATCACCGTTCGAAACGCCTTGGCGTCCTTTGATGAGTGCTAAAAGGTGTAGAATGCTCCTGATTGAAAGTATCACTTGGTAATTCACCTTTTATCCGGAGAAGGGCTAAAGAAGTGTTGAAAGAAAGGGGTTATAGCAAGTACCGAGCAGCACTCAAAGCCATCTTTAGTCAACGGTCTTGTTCAGCCGCATTCCCCAATCAATCAATCGAAAGATTCAACAGGAAACTCAACGGGAGAGTCGGCGCCATAGCAGACCTAGTATCCCTGTGTTACGAAACACTAAAATCAACAGGAATAGTAATTTCGGTCGAATCCCGTGTTCTCTTCTCTTCGCGCGCTCGACCTACCAGTACCCCTCTCAATCGCTCTTTCACGCGCCTTGCCAACCGCATTTCCTGTGGGTTCCGCTTACCGCCGCTGCTCCAAACACGAATTCCCCCTTGTGCGGCGCAGATGGCGGGGCGGGCGGGGCGCGACAAGGGCGCGCTGCGCGCGATGATGCGCGAGATGGCGCAGAAGACGGAGAAGCGCATCGACTCCCCGCTCGTGAGGTGCGGCACTGCGCACGGGGGGGTGGTGAGGGATGGCGAGGGGCAATGATGCGCGAGAGGGGGGAGGCGAGAGGCGAGAGGCGAGAGGCGAGAGGGGGGAGGTGAGAGGGGGGACGTGAGAAGCGGGAGGGGGGAAGCGGGAGGGGGGAAGCGGGAGGGGGGAAGCGGGAGGGGGGAAGCGGGAGGGGGGAAGCGGGAGGGGGGAAGCGGGAGGGGGGAAGCGGGAGGGGAGAGGGTACAGGGGAGAAGGGAGAGGCAAGACAATCATTCTATGCTTATGCCTTACCACGCCACACCATCCCATGCCATCGCATGTACGGTAACTCTCAAACATTTTTACTCCTGCCCGCCACCAGGTACAACGAACTGGGGCAGGCCGTGTGCCGAGTCTGCACCACCGTGATCAAATCCGAAAGCCTCTGGGCGGCACATCTTGTCAGCAAGCAGCACAAGGAGGTGCGTCTATCTCTCACATGCCGCCTCTCGCCCACTCCACCTCTCTCCATCTTCCGCGCCTCTTCACCATTACAGTCTTCTCCCTTGCGCAACCCCCTCCCTTTGCCCCTCCCATCACTCCTTGCCTTCTCCCGCTCCTCTCCTCTCTAGAGTGCGGAGCGGCTCAAGCAGAGGGCCAAGGCCGCAGCACCGCCCGCTACCGCCGGTGCCACCAGTGCAGCGCCGCGACCCACAGCGGCAGCAACCCCGGCAGCACCAGGTGGCGGGAGGCCTGCTGCTGCTTCTGCTGCCGGAGCCCTCCCGAGTGACTTCTTCGATTCCGCATCGGCGGCTAAACGGCCCCGCCATGGTGGGTGGGTGGGTGGGTGGGAGGTGGGGCATGTTGGGTGGGTGGGAGGTGGGGCATGTTGGGTGGGTGGGCGGTGGGGCATGGTGGGTGGGTGGGTGGGTGGGTGGGTGGGTGGGTGGGTGGTGGGGCAAGGTGGGTGGGGTACACAGTACTTTCCACAGACTCTTCCTTAGTCCTTGCTCTTTTCTCATTCTTTCTCACCCTTCTCTTGTCCCCCCGCCCCTCTCATGCTCCTTTCCACCTTCCCATCATCACCCTCTCTCCTCCCCTTCTTCGCCCCCGTCGCACCAGACATGCCGTCCGCCACTTCCACCATTGCTGCCTCTGTGCCTGCCAACCCACCAGCAGCAGCGCACCCAGCAGCAACCGCGTTGCCTGTGAGGCAATCATCTGGACCATCTGGATCTGTCCCTGCCACCTCTGCTGCCCTTGCCGCCCGTGCCACGGCGCCTGCCTCGGCAGCCTCCGCTGCTCCTCCCAGCACCACCAGCCTACCAGCAGATTTCTTCGATGCCCCTGCACCAGCTGCTGCCGCTCCTGCTGCTCCCTCTGCTCCCGCTGCTGCTACACCCTCTTCCCCTGCTGCTCCTGCTGCTCCTGCTTCGGCCTCCGCCCTTCCGCCTGATTTCTTCGATGGACCATCAACAGCAACAGCAGCAGCAGCGGCTGCATCACCTGCCCCTGCTGCTGCAAAGGGAGGGAAGGGCGGAGGCGTCGCAGGCAAGGGGGCAGTAGGCAGGGAGGGCGGGGTGGGGCAGGGAGTGTTACCGGAGGGGTTCTTTGACAGCAAGGAGGCGGACCACAGGGCGAGGGGCGTGGAGTATAAGAAGCCAGACGCCGAGTGAGTCGCTTGCTGGGTGGGGGGGGAGTCAGTGCGCGCCGAGCATGGTTGCGAGTGGTTGGATTTTTCTGTGTGTGTGCACGGGGCGTGGGACGTGGGGCGTGGGGCGTGGGGCGTGGGGCGTTGAATACAAGGAGCCAGACGCCGGCTGAGTCTCACTCTATGCTGAGCGGTGCTGTTGGAGGGAAGGTGTCTGTATGTGCATGTGAGTCTTGAGGAGTGCGTGTGCTGGTTGGAGTGTTGAGGAGTACGTGAGAACGCATGTTGTGCATTGCAAGCGCGCACCCAGCCCATGCGCGCTGCACTTGCTCCATGCGCGCTGCACTTGCACCATGCGCGCTGCACTTGCACCATGCGCGCTGCACTTGCTCCATGCGCGCTGCACTTGCACCATGCGCAGTGCACTTGCTCCATGCGCACTGCACTTGCTCCATGCGCGCTGCACTTGCTCCATGTGCGCTGCACTTGCTCCATGCGCGCTGCTCTTGCTCCATGCGCGCTGCACTTGCTCCATGCGCGCTGCACTTGCTCCATGCGCACTGCACTTGCTCCATGCACCCTGCACTTGCTCCATGCGCGCTGCACTTGCTCCATGCGCGCTGCACTAGCTCCATGCGCGCTGCACTTGCTCCATGCGCGCTGCACTTGGTCCATGCGCGCTGCACTTGCTCCATGCGCGCTGCACTTGCTCCATGCGCGCTGCACTTGCACCATGCGCGCTGCACTTGCTCCATGCGCGCTGCACTTGCTCCATGCGCGCTGCACTTGCTCCATGCGCGCTGCACTTGCACCATGCGCGCTGCACTTGCTCCATGCGCGCTGCACTTGCACCATGCGCACTGCACTTGCTCCATGCGCACTGCACTTGCTCCATGCGCGCTGCACTTGCTCCATGTGCGCTGCACTTGCTCCATGCGCGCTGCTCTTGCTCCATGCGCGCTGCACTTGCTCCATGCGCGCTGCACTTGCTCCATGCGCACTGCACTTGCTCCATGCACCCTGCACTTGCTCCATGCGCGCTGCACTTGCTCCATGCGCGCTGCACTAGCTCCATGCGCGCTGCACTTGCTCCATGCGCGCTGCACTTGGTCCATGCGCGCTGCACTTGCTCCATGCGCGCTGCACTTGCACCATGCGCGCTGCACTTGCTCCATGCGCGCTGCACTTGTACCATGCGCGCTGCACTTGCTCCATGCGCGCTGCACTTGCACCATGCGCGCTGCACTTGCACCATGCGCGCTGCACTTGCACCATGCGCACTGCACTTGCACCATGTGCGCTGCACTTGCTCCATGCGCGCCGCACTTGCTGCATGCTGGTGCATGCCCGTGTCTGTTGTCCCAGTGCGCCCTCCTTGCACCCCGTGCTGCCTCGTGCATGCAGGGAGGAGCTGAGGGCGTTTGAGCGGTCAATCAAAGGCGACATGGCGCACATTGACGAGCGGCAGGAGGAGGAGGAGGTGAGGCCAGGGGGAAGAAGGGAGAGGAAGAGGAGAATGATTGGAGCGAAGAGAGTGGAACTGAGGAGCAAAACCCTCGTGACTGCTTGCCACATCGCCTCTTTGTCATCTTGTCACGTTGTCAACCTTGTTACCATGTTACCCCCATCCTCCTCCTCTCTGCCCTTTTTCTAACCCAATTCTACCATTGGCATCCTGGCTCGTGGTTTTGCATCCTGGCTCGTGGTTTTGCATCCTGGCTCGTGGTTTTGCATCCTGGCTCGTGGTTTTGCATCCTGGCTCGTGGTTTTGCATCCTGGCTCGTGGTTTTGCATCCTGGCTCGTGGTTTTGCATCCTGGCTCGTGGTTTTGCATCCTGGCTCGTGGTTTTGCATCCTGGCTCGTGGTTTTGCATCCTGGCTCGTGGTTTTGCATCCTGGCTCGTGGTTTTGCATCCTGGCTCGTGGTTTTGCATCCTGGCTCGTGGTTTTGCATCCTGGCTCGTGGTTTTGCATCCTGGCTCGTGGTTTTGCATCCTGGCTCGTGGTTTTGCATCCTGGCTCGTGGTTTTGCATCCTGGCTCGTGGTTTTGCATCCTGGCTCGTGGTTTTGCATCCTGGCTCGTGGTTTTGCATCCTGGCTCGTGGTTTTGCATCCTGGCTCGTGGTTTTGCATCCTGGCTCGTGGTTTTGCATCCTGGCTCGTGGTTTTGCATCCTGGCTCGTGGTTTTGCATCCTGGCTCGTGGTTTTGCATCCTGGCTCGTGGTTTTGCATCCTGGCTCGTTGCCTATCTCTCCTTTACCACGCCCTGCCACTTCATGGCTCTTGGTCGCATGGCATGGCATGCCATATTGCTATATTAGCGGTGGTGTAAAATCGCAAGACTCTGTGACCCCTTCTGAAGTGCAAGGTCGTTCACCATCCCCTTGTGCATATCTGTGTCATGCGATGCTATGCCACCATGGAATGCCATTATGCCATGACATCTCATGCCGTGCCATCGCATCCCATGCGATGCCATATCATGCCATTCTATGCCATGCCATGCCAATCCATGCCATGCCATGCCATGAAATGGCTCAGAGGGAGGCAGCAGACGAGCGCGAGGCGAGGGACCAACTCATGCAACGGTGAGAGCCATGCAACACATTGGTATGGAAGACACTTACATGCACCTGCAAACAAGCATGCCAACTGCCCACACGGCTTTATCACCTGCCCACACGGCTTTATCACCTGCCCACACGGCTTTATCACCTGCCCACACGGCTTTATCATCTGCCCACACGGCTTTATCACCTGCCCACACGGCTTTACCACCTGCCCACACAGCTTTATCACCTGCCTTCACGGCTTTATCACGTGCCCACACGGCTTTATCACCTGCCCACACGGCTTTATCACCTGCCCACACGGCTTTAGCACCTGCCCACACGGCTTTATCACCTGACACACCCAAATCCACACCATGGTATGCACCCGTCTTGCCACCATGGTATGCACCCGTCTTGCCACCATGGTATGCACCCGTCTTGCCACCATGGTATGCACCCGTCTTGCCACCATGGTATGCACCCGTCTTGGCGTCATGGTATGCACCCGTCTTGCCACCATGGTATGCACCCGTCTTGCCACCATGGTATGCACCCCTGGTCGCTTTGCACATGGCGCACTTTTCGCTTGCCACTCTCCCCTTGCTGCCATGCAACATACCACCTACACTGCAACATACCACCTACGCTGCAACATACCACCTACACTGCAACATACCACCTACACTGCAACATACCACCTACACTGCAACCCCTCCCTCCCCGCGTACTGCTTCACCCATCCCCCCTCCCCGCGTACTGCTTCACCCATCCCCCCTCCCCGCGTACTGCTTCACCCATCCCCCCTCCCCGCGTACTGCTTCACCCATCCCCCCTCCCCGCGTACTGCTTCACCCATCCCCCCTCCCCGCGTACTGCTTCACCCATCCCTTCTTCGTTCAATCTGCTTCTGATACTCTTCACTCTCACTCACGTTTCATCAACTTCAGCAATGAGATAATACAGTTGGGTAGAGAAAGGATGCGACAGCAACAAAGTACAGTTGGGTAGAGAAAGGATGCGACAGCAACAAAGTACAGTTGGGTAGAGAAAGGATGCGACAGCAACAAAAGTACAGTTGGGTAGAGAAAGGATGCGACAGCAACAAAGTGCAGTTGGGTAGAGAAAGGATGCGATAGCAAATTTCCACCTACACCTGCTTCATATAGAATGGAGAGCACAAATGCTGGCAGCCTATTTCTAGCAGCATCATGACCCCGTCTTCTCACACATTCACCATTCACTTTGCAACCCTCGCCCCCCCTCTCCTTCCCCCACCCTCTCTCCTTTCCCCCTTCCCCTTTCCCCCCGGGTGCTCAGACTGCTTCTGGAGCGTATTGAGCGGTATCGGCACCGGCAAGCTGGGGAGAGGAGCGAGGAGGGAAAGAGGGGAGCTGGGGATGGTGCTGTGATGAATGTTGTGGGATGGAGAGGAGGAGGAGGGTTGGGGGAACAAGAGGGAGGAAAGAGGAGTGTGGATGGAGGGGAACAGGATGGGGAAGGGGATGTTGGGAGCGGCGATGAGGATAATAAGGGAGAGGAGGATGGAGAGGATGGTAATGATGATGAGGAGTTGGCGGCGGATGATGAGGGAGATGAGGACGAGGAGGAAGAGGGAGGGGAGGAGGACGATGACATTGACGCAGAGATCTTTGACTGGCGAGCCAAGCGGTTGTGACAACGGTTGACGTCGTCGCTAGCATAATTTTTTTGTCTGCTTTTCCTGATATTCGGACAGATTTCTAAGAGTATATATGATTTTCCAAAAATGAAATTTTGTACTTTCCGATAAATAAAGAATTGTGTTGAAATAACCGACAGTTATTATAACATTCTCGAATCATTCCCTTAGCTGCTGCTGCTGCGTTTTTGCGGCTGCTGCTATCGCCTGACCGTCGTGCCTGCTGCTGTGGGAGACGGACGAACTCACCACACTCCCTCTCTCCTGCTATCGTCTCCTTGGGCTCGCAGTCGCAATTCGCCACGCCTCACCCAAGGAACCTACCACAGTGCGCCAGGCCCTGTGTGGGACCTGTCAAATGTTGTAGCCTGTAGTGAGGTTTGTCTTAGGGGGTACAGAAGTTAGGGTTTGTCATATGTACCCCAACCAACATCAATGCAACACTCATTCCTCATTCTGACATGGTATCAGCTAGGTTAGGATCCTGTGGGATCCCGTTCCTCCGTTCTCCGTTCGTACCTCCCGAGCCTGATCCTACCTCTCGTTCGTATCAGTTTCGTAGTTACCGCGCCTAGTACCGAGCCTAGCGTCATCTCCCCCGTCGCGTCACGCCTGTTCCCCCCCCGTCGCGTCACGCCCGTTCCCCCTGTCACGTCGCGCCCGTTCCCCCCGTCGCGTCGCGCCCGTTCCCCCCGTCGCGTCGCGCCCGTTCCCCCTGTCGCGTCGCGCCCGTTCCCCCCCGTCGCGTCGCGCCCGTTCCCCCCGTCGCGTCGCGCCTGCCTGTTACCCCCCCCCGTCCCGTCGCCCTGTCCCGTCGCGTCGCCCTGTCCCGTCGCCCTGTCCCGTCGCCCTGTCCCGTCGCGTCGCCCTGTCCCGTCGCGTCGCCCTGCCCTGTCCCGTCGCGTCGCCCTGCCCTGTCCCGTCGCCCTGTCCCGTCGCGTCGCCCTACCCCGTCGCGTCGCCCTGCCCTGTCCCGTCGCCCTGCTCCGTCGCGCCGCCCTGCCCCGTCGCGTCGCCCTGTCCCGTCGCGTCGCCCTGCCCCGTCGCGTCGCCCTGACCTTTCCCCCGTCGCGTCGCCCTCCCTAGGCCCTGGCCTGTCGCCCTTCCTAGGCCCTGGCCCGTCGCCCTACCCTAGGCCCTGGCCCGTTGCCCTACCCTACGTCTTGGCCCGTCGTCCTAGCCCACTCTTCCGCTGCGACTGAGTCCTCTTCCCCCCCCGGTTGTTACTCGCCTGTTCGTTCTCACTATGGCGACTCCGCGAGTTCTTCGTTTCGACGCCGACGGTAGACCCCTTGACTTTTCCGTCTGGCTTCTTCGCGCTCGTCGTCTGTTAGAGAGTCAGGTCCAGGGGGGCGAGACCCTCTGGTCACACGCTACTGGTGACCTCCCCGAGCCCCCCGAGCCTACAGCTTTAGGCCCTGCTCCTGACGATGCTGCTACGGCTCGCTTTGCCCGTCAGCGCGCTGACCGGACGGCTTGGACGTCGCGTGACGCTGCGGCCTGCATCGCACTCAGCAGCCTCCTCCCTGAGTCCGAGGAGGTCCACTTTACTCAGGTTCGCACCGCTGCTGCGTACCTCACTGCGATTAAGGCCCGCTACTCTACTCCCGCTACTGTCTCTCTCGGCCGTCTTTTCCTCCCGTTCCTGTTTCCTGATCTTGCCTCGTTTGAGCGCTCTGCTGACTTGATCGCTCACCTCCGCTCGCTTGACGCTAGTTACCGCGCTGCTTGCACTGAGGCACAGCTTGCACTGCTTCCTCCCCCCATGGCGATTACTGTCTATTTCATCGCCACTAGCCTCCCTGACCGCCTTGCCTCCGTTCGTGACGCGCTTCTGCTGAAGCACCCTAGTGAGCTGACTATCGAGGTCCTTGAGTCTGCACTCAAGGATGTCGAGAGCAACCTTCGTTCGGTAGCTGCCGCCTCTGGTACTGTATCCCCCCCACTCTTCCACGGGTGTACAGTCCCGCAGTTACCCACCTTCACTGCCTCTCTTGCCACTGCCGCTACTGACGCGACTGCGGCTGCTGTTACGACTGCGTCGCGGTCCCGCGGCAGGGGGGGCAAGAAAGGTGGTTCCGGTGGAGGTGGAGGCGGAGGTAGCGGAGGTAGTGGGGGTGCTGTTGCGACTGGCGGTGGTGGGAGTGCAGCGTCTGGAGAGACCCCTCGTGCAGCGGCCGGTGACTCCACTGCACCTGCTGGTGGCAGCGACCCTCGAGCTCGTCAGTCGCCTCCTGTACTGTCGGCCCCGCTAGGTGGAGCAGCGGCGTGGTACCAGGCTCAGCGTCAGCAGCACCTTCAGCAGCAGCAGCAGCCCCTTTCCTCCCAGCAGCCTCAGCAGCAGCAGCGTCAGCAGCTGGCTCCGGGGTCGGGGCTGCGTCAGCCCCAGCGCGGTGCTGCTTACCCTCCCTGCCCCTACCAGGTTCAGACAGGTCCTCGTCGGGGCCACCCTTGTGGCCGCTTTCACCCCCCTGGTCAGTGCTTTGCTCAGCTCACTGACACGGTCCGGTTGACCTACGGGGTTGGCGGTCCTGCTCCTGACTGGCTTCCTCTGGTTCAGCGCTACGGCTCCGCTCTGTGGGGCATGTCTGCTGAGCAGTTAGTTGATCTGATTAGTGCTCCTCATGCTATGTATGCTGTTGTTGACTCTAGTGTTTCTGACTCTGTTTACTCTGGTGTTGTTAGCTTAGGTGCTAGTCTTGCTGAGTTGCCTGTTGCTAGTGTAGGTACTTGTGTAGACTCTAGACCAGCGACTACCTCAGAGGACGCTTCGCTGTCGTTCACACTGGACTCTGGAGCCTCCCACTGCTTCTTTCGGGACAGCACGACACTTACACCACTTCCTGCGCCTGTTTCTGTAGCGTTGGCTGATCCCACTACGGGACCAGTCACTGCACGTCACACTACCACTTTACCGTGTCCTGCTGCTCCCTCCGGGTCTCTCACTGGGTTTCACGTCCCCTCGTTCTCCCGGAACTTGGTGGGCGTGCGACCCCTCGTGAGCCAGCACGTGGGTGTGTGGTTTGAGCCTTCTGGAGAGACTGCGGTGTGTGTTGACGGAGACTCTTACCAGCCTCTTGCTACCTTTACTGCTGAGCCGGGCTCGGGTCTCTACACTCTTCACACTGGCCCGCGTGCGCCGCAGCAGCAGCCGCAGCAGCAGCAGCAGCCGCAGCCGCAGCAGCAGCAGCAGCAGCAGCAGCACCAGCGGCCGCACCAGCAGCCCCCCCTACTGCCACTGCCCCCGGTTCCCCCCCCCGTTCGGGTCCCCGCGTCTCACCAGGTTGCTACGTCCCCCCAGGTGTCTGTGTCGTGTCAGGTTCCTCCGTCTGTTCCAGTCGCTGCGTCGTGCTCCTGCCGGTCGCTTGCCCACCCCACCGTTCTGTGGCACCACCGGATGGGGCACCCGTCCCTTCCACGTCTGCGCGCTATGTCTAGTCAGCGTCTTGTCCTAGGCCTCCCACGTGTCTTGCCGTCGCTGCCGCCTTCGCCTGCGCCGCCGTGTCGTCCCTGCGTCGAGGGTAGGCTGCGCGCCACCCCTCACTCCTCCTCCCTTCGTCCGGCCACCGAGCCTTTTGAGACGCTTCACTTGGACGTCTGGGGCCCAGCCCCTCGTCTAGGCCCTGAGCGTGAGCGTTACTTTCTGGTGGTCGTTGACGACTTCTCCCGCTACACCACAGTGTTCCCTCTGGCGAAGAAGTCTGAGGTGACTTCTACGCTGATCAGGTGGTTGCTCACCACCGAGGACACTCGTGGTCGTCGTGTCAGCTGTCTCCACTCCGACCGTGGGGGTGAGTTTCGCTCCGGCATTCTCGCTGGATTCTGTCGCGAGCAGGGCATTCGTCAGTCCTGGACGCTTCCAGAGTCCCCACAGCAGAATGGGGTTGCTGAGCGCCGCATAGGCCTGGTCATGGAGATCGCCCGCACCTCCCTGACTCACGCCTGTGCCCCCCATTTTCTGTGGCCCTACGCGGTCAGGTACGCCGCGCACCAGCTGAACCTCTGGCCACGTGTCTCTCGACCAGAGGTTTCACCGACCAGTCTTTGGACAGGGTTCCCTGGTGTTGCGTCGCGGTTTCGTGTCTGGGGGTGCTTGGCTCTTGTCCGCGACACCTCCGCGGACAAGCTCTCGCCTCGTGCCGTCCCCTGTGTCTTCCTTGGTTTCCCTGAGGACTCCTCTGACTTCACCTTTTACCACCCTCCCTCTCACCGGTTCTTTGACTCCCGTGACGTCCGTTTCGAGGAGTCCACTCCGTACTACGTCAGGTACCCCAGTCGAGGTCTCCCGGTTCCTCCTCCCCCCCTCTTCCTGACTGCCGTTCCCCCTCCTGCTCCCCCGGTACAGCCTCCCCCCCCTGGTCCAGCCCCGTCAGGTGTGTCCCAGGCTACCCCTCCTCCTTCGGTAGCCCCTCCGGTACAGCCTCCCTCCCCACAGTCCTCCTCGCAGCGTGCCGCTGGTGCTAGCTCTCGAGAGGTTGGTGCGACGCCTGTTCCTGTACCGGTTTCTGGTTCTGGGGGTGCTGGAGTTAGAGCTGGAGTTGGAGCTGGAGTTGGAGCTGGAGTTGGCACTGGAGTTTCTGGTTCTGGGGGTGCTGGAGTTGGAGCTGGGGTTGGAGCTGGAGTTTCTGGTTCTGGAGTTGGAGCTGACCAGGTGGGTGCAGAGGACGCTTGTCGTCCGGGAGCTGGTGCTGGCCGCGCGGACACTGGGGGTGCTGCGTCTGGGGGTGAGGGTGCGCCTCCTTTGGGTTCAGGTGAGCCTGGGTCTGGAGCTGGTGTTAGTGCTGCCTCTGGGGGTGGTGAGCCTAGTTCTTCTGGAGTGGACTCTGGAGCTGCCGCTGCTTCGGACACTACTCCGCCCCCCCACCCCTACCCGACTAGGCACCAGGCTCGTGTTCGCCGTGCCCGTGACGATCAGCTGGCGTTGGAGAGAGAGGAGAGGGAGTTACAGCGGCTGGAGGAGCAGCAGCAGCAGCTGGACCCGCAGGAGCAGCAGTCCC